AATGTCCATACATACCTGTCTCTTTCCACCAGAAAAGTTAAATTTGTTTGTACTGTTCTACTTGAAATAAGTATTCCAAATGTTCTATACATTAAAAAAGAACAAACTAGTGTGTTGAAGATAAATAACAGGAAGTAGGAATGAATGAAATTTGTAGCAGGTCTATTATTTGAATTCTTGATTTTATATGGTAATTGAAGTAGATGATGGGGTTTGGCCTGCGAGTTCTTCGAATATCTACTATCTAAACAAATGTGCACCCAAAAAGAAAAAATATCTTTGACCAAATGTCTTTTATCTAAAAAAACATGCATAAAACAAAAACTGATATCTTTCATCAAATATAGTCTATCTAAACCAATATGAACTAAAAAGAAAAAAATATCTTTGTAGTAATATCTGCTATCTAAAAATGCTCTCAAATAAAATATCTTTGATAGAATCTCTTCTATATAAAAAAGATTTTCCCAAAAAAGAATGTTAATATCTAAGATAGAATCTCTTCTATCTACAAAATAAACTAATATCTTTCATTGAATATCTTCTATGTAAAAAAATGCACCAAAAAAGATTATTAATATCTTCTATACAAAAAAAGTTGCACCAAAAAAGAATGTTAATACCTTTGATAGAATTTCTTTTATCTAAAAATGATGAAACACAAAAAAGGAAGTACATATGTACTTTGATCGAATTTCTTCTATCTACAAAAGAATGCTAATATCTTTGTTTGAATATCTTCTATCTAAACCAATATACACCCAAAAAGAATGAAAATATCTTTGATTGAGTATCTTCTATCTAAACCAATGTACACCAAAAAGAATGAAAATATCTTCTATGTAAAAAAGATTCACCGAAAAAAGAATGTTAATATCTTTGATAGAATCTCATCTACTTAAAAAAAAGATGCACATAAAAAAATAAAAGTGTATCTAATAGAGTTTAGCCAAAAAAATAATTATAATATATGTGATTAAATCTCTTCTATTTAAAAAAGATACATCCATAAAATAATACAACCTTAACAAATAATACCTTTGATTAAATTTCTTCTATCTAAGAAAAATGCACCTAAAAAAAGAATGCAATCTTTGATTGAATCTCTTCTATCTACAAATCATGCACTACAAAAATAAAGCTATCTTTAATAGAGTATTTTCTATTTAAAATATCTATTATTAAATCTCTCCTATGAACAAAAGATATGGGCGAAAAATAATACTAATAGCTTTGATTGAATCTCCTCTATCTAAGAAAGATGCTCCTAAAAAAAGAATGTGAATATGCATCTTTGATCGAATTACTTCTATCTACAAATCATGCACTACAAAAATAATGCTATCTTTAATAGAATACTTTCTATTGAAATGGTTAGGGAATTACGATAAATCCCTTCTATGAACAAAAGATGCGAACAAAAAATAATACTAATAGCTTTGATTGAATTTTTTCTATTTAAAATATTTTTGATTGAATCTCTTCTATATAAAAATGTTATGAGTTAATTTGTTAATTAATCCAGACATGTAGCACTATGGTAGAAAGAAATGACAGCATTTGTGCCAATTTTGAAACATTTTTATTGTTTTGGAACTTTAGCGATAGTTCTTAATAGTTTTAATAGTTTCAAGATCTTAAGGAAACAGAGGAAAGAAGTGAAATAAAAGCGAGAAAGACATCCTTGAGGAATACAAGGAGGAACAACATTTTGTAGAAATTTCGAATGATTGTTTAACTCCTTGAGAACTTACAAAGAAAATTTTCCCAAAGAGTTCATTGAAGCAAAAATAAAAAGACAAGCTAGAACAGATTTTATTTATTTATTTCTTGTACGAATAGCAATACAAAGAGACATGATTTATTTTGCAAAGTAGATCATAATTATAGAAATGTTCTCGGATATATATTTTTTTTTGAAAATTAAAAAGCCTGAAAGGAGCACAGTCAATTTAAACTTTTTTCAGCTAATTGAATTTGAACAATGCATGTTAAGAATTCGTTGCATTTAACGACTCCACTAACTCAAAATAATTCGCGAATAAATTACAAACTAGGGAAATTTTTCAAAACAAGCTAAGGATAAAATTTTACGCTTTTCTGATCAGTTAGGATTTTAATCGAATCGGTGCATTAAAAGCTATAAATCTGTTGAAATAATCGGTTAAATTTTAAATGAAAAAGTTTTAACAGTAGGGCCGAAGCTAAACGAGATTCAACCCATGCAGTTTCGATTGTAAGCGTGTTCCACCTCACGTAATCATCTGCCCATGGAAAACTCCAGACATTCGTCTAAAATCCTTTCTCTTTAAATTTGACCTACATTATAAACTTATTACTTTAATGATTTGCAATTATGAAAGGTCCGATTTCGCTAGGATGCACGGTGGAAAATTACAACCAATTTTAAATGGGATCCTGTTTTGAAACTAATATCTCGACAATGAGGGCAAAAATCAGATTTTCAAACAAATGAAATCGTCAAGTAAAAATCGATTTAAAAAAATTAACGTACAATGCCAAACTTCTTTATAAAGCCAAATAATCCAATTTTTTCTTTTATCTTTAATCTTAAAGTACAGTTTTAATTTACTTTCATTTATTCCTTTCCTCTTTCCTCCTACTTTTTTATCCTCCCTCACATTAAAAATTTAAAATAGATACATTCTTTTAATGTAGATATTTAGAATAAAGTTACAGGATAAACACTTAAAATGAAATTGTCATGAAAAAATCGATAAAAATTAGTTAACGTATGTCAAACGTCTTTATAAAGCCAATCTCAATAAAGATCGAAACGTTGGCACGATAAAGAAAATGTTTTTCTAAAACCTACGTCGCACCAGATCGCATCTCACGTTTTAATTTACTTTCATTTATTCCTTTCCTCTTTCCTCCTGCTGTTCTATCCTCCCCTCACATTTAAAATTTACATCTAAATAAATTTTTTTATTACATATTTGGAATAAAATTACAGGATAAACCCTTTTGATCATGATGACGAATTGCTGTAATTAATAACAAATAGAGCATAGACAAAACACAAAGACACTCTATCTATTTTTCTCTATTCTCACCCCTTAATCTCCTTTTATCATTATTTCCTCTCCCTCACTTTCACTCTACTCTCTTCTTTCTCACTTAATCTTTTTCTTTCTTCGTCTTTGTTTTTTCGCTCCAGTCGTTGGATGTAATTACCGTCAAAATAAACCAGATTCTACAACTACACATAAAATCTTATTTATTCGTAATTTTATCTTTTCTTCTCTCCTTAATAGTTCTTTATATTAAAAAAATAAAAATAAATAAATTTAGAAAAACGCACTTACACTATCTGACTCCTCTCTGGCCCCCTTTCTGTTTGTTTACCTCATTTTGCCACTGTCACTCTCTTCTTTCACTCTCTTCCTAACCTTTCTCTCTCTCTCTTTCTTATCTTCTCATTTCTCATTTTTCTCTCGAACCGTTTTTTCAAGGTTAGTTGTATTTTTGTGGTGGAACTCCATTATCAATGCTTTATTGACCTGATTGACATGATTTATTCAACCTTTGATACTTCTCTCTTTCTCTCGCCTTCCTCTTTTCTACCTCACCCTCACTGTCTCTTTCTTTCCTTATCTTTTTCTCTTTACTCATTCCCTCCCTCCACCTCTCTCTCTTCTTTTTCTTCTTTCTCTCTTCTTTTTTCACGTCTCTCTCTTCCTCTCTATTTTTCTTCTCTATTTCTATCCTTTCATCTCTCTATCCTCTCTCTCTTTCTTTCTTTTCTTTTCACTTCTCTCATTCTCTCTTTACTCTTTTTTTTTCTCTCTCTCTATCTCTCTCACTCTAACTCTCTTTCTCTCTCTTTCGCTCCATATCTATCTATCTCTTTATCTCTATTTCTCTCTTCTTCTTTTTTCACGTCCTCTCCCTCTATTTTTTCTTTTCTCTTTTCATCACTCTCTCTTTCTTTCTTTTATTTTCTCTCATTCTCTCTTTCTCTCTCCCTCTTTCTTTTTCTCTTTATCTCGCTCTCTATTTATATATCTATCTCTATTTCTCTCTTCTTCTTTTTTTCACGTCTCTCTCTCTCCCTCTATTTTTCTTCTCTCCTTTCATCTCTCTCTTTCTTTTCTTCTCTTTTTCACTTCTCTTTCTTTCTTTTTTTTACGTCACTCTCTCTCCCTCTATTTCTTTTCTTTTTCTCTACATTCATCTCTCTATCCTCTCTCTTTGTCTTTTCTTCTCTTTTTCACCTCTCTCTCATTCTCTCTCTCTTTCTTTTCTTCTTTTTCTCCTCTCACATTCTCTCCGTCTCCTCTCTTTCTTTCTTTTCTTTTCTTTTCTCTATTTCTTTCTCGTCTTCCCTTTTTCACTTCTCTCTTCTCTCCCTCACTCTCTTTTTGTGTACAAATGCACGGACAGGAATGCATTAAAAGTAAATTAACGATTGAGATAATGAACGCCAACATTTCATTCAAGTCCAAAATTCTCTGACGTGATAAACCCGACCTTCACTAAAAATACAAAACAAAAACCATTGGAAAATCTTAACGGACGCTAATTGCGATCCCTCGTCGGTCTTAAGCTCCGGTTCGGCAGTTGACATCCCGTTATTCGTAAACATATTATTTAAGCGTGTTTTAATTTTTTTCTTTGTTTAATTGATTTACGGGAGAAAGAGCAAGTACAAGGATTGGGTGCTAAATTTAAATTTAAAGATCCAACAATAATTCCGACCTTGTGGAGCGCGATTTGAATTCGAGCCAGAAAATGACCGCAACAACAGAAAGGAAAATACAAGTATTGATTATATAACGATGTATTAAAATTACAGTGTAAATTATAAATTGTATTAATTTCGTGGAATTTTCTATATCAAGAGATAGGTGAAAAAAATTCTCTTGATCCTATATTATTATTATTATTTTATTTATCTATTTTATTTTTTGAGCAGGATTTTCTTTACTTTAATTATTATTGTGTTAAATCAAAAATTTAAATCTTCAAAATCTCACCTCTGATCGGAAACGGTTTCGTCTGAATAGTTTCACTAATCGGCGGTTTGCGGCGTGAAGGGGTCGGGGCGACGGCGTCGTATTTGCACATTCTATCGTCTGGGAGACGACAGTCACAGACTGGAACGGAACTGAAGACGTCCATACCCGACCAAAGACGGCATGTCACTACTGAAGTTAGTGTTACTACAGTGCAGAAAGAGAGGTTCTGGATCACGTGTGAATCACCTTTGGCGCATGCGCTTATTGTATGACGTCTAATAGCTGGGGAGGGGTCTGGTAAGCCTGATATTGGCTACTTCTATCTTGGAAGAACATCATCATCATACCATCGGGGTAGAGACAAGGGTGTGCCCGGGTGCGGGCTTGGTGGTCGTGCAAACAAATAAATGGAGGAAAAATAGGCAGTCTCCCTCAATGTTCAAACCATGTAAAAAAATTCTGTCTATTGTAAAACATCATAGGAAATGATACAATGAAAGAAACTTACACTTCAGCAACAAATATAGCTGAAAAGTAGTCGATCTCCAACCACCAAGAGTGGTAGAACACCGAAAATATCAATCTGATCCCCCTGCTATCACCAATGAAGAGTTTTGTAGAGCAGATTCTCCGATAACACTCCAGCCTTCTCTCTTCCTTCTCATCGTATCTGATGCTCAAGTTTTCATTTAAGAAGTTGAAAGAAAACATCACAAAGTTCGATTATATTTTTTTAGTATCTGAGGATGAACTTTGGCTCACCAATTGGAAGAAGAGGATTGAAATATAGTGCTAAAAATGTAGGAAATGGTAGAAGTAATTTTAGAGGTATGCTCCTTCTTCCCAGCTATCAAAAAAAGCTTTACTCATATCAATAGTTAGCCTTGTTCTACGAGCTCTGATTGATAGACCCTTCAGCACCTTGAGATTAGTTAAAACATGGACAAGATCGTCGATGACTGAATCCAGGTTGAACGAACTCTTTTTTCTGGGGTCATTCCCAAGTATTTAGATGTATGATACACCATCATGAGAGATGATATGTAAAATTTACATGTATCTATTTAATTCGATTGCCCCTCATTCTTGTATTTTTGTCCATTTATGTATGCTGTTACACAATTTTTGAAGAATTTTGTAAGAATGGTTGATGCTCGGTCTTACTGTTATCACCGCTGTATTATCTGAAACGGTTGCAATTTTTACGCCATCCATTTTGAAAAAATCACTGGTATAACAAGTAAAGTATTGGACGTAGTATGCTCCCTTGGGTCACTCCTGCATCTTCTTGTTAGACTCCAAAATGTTTGTCAGTTTAGTAGGAAGTTAATAATTATCTACAGAACTAAGCATCATTCTTAGTTGTCTTAGAATGATAAGTGTCATAACTCGATGAATTTGTGATATTTAATATGATATTAAGAAAAACGTCTAAAAAGTCTGTGCGAATCCGGTCTCGAAGGGCAAAACGAAAAAGTCGGAAACGCCATCAACTGTTAAACTACAACAACAAGAACATCACTATACTTGAAGTTACTTATTTGGCAGAAACGGGCAAAGGCGTCCGATTTCAAACCCCAACGGATAGTTTAACGTTGTATGGCAGGACTTACTTAACTTAATAAACATTAACAAAGTATTCTTCAATTAATAAACGGAGAGTTTAAATAACAGCATCTAACAAGTACACAACTTTTTTAAAATTTAAACTAAATTCACTACTTTCGTAGTCGGCTTGACCAATTAATACATGACAATTAATTAAGGTTTTTAGTTGAGATGAAAAAAAGTTAATGGCACGAGAGGGATTCGAACCCACGACCTTCGGATAGATACGCCGCTGCTGTACCTACCCTAGGTCACGATAGCTCAGGTGGTAGAGCAGCGGCGTATCTATCCGAAGGTCATGGGTTCGAATCCCTCTCGTGCCATTAACTTTTTTTCATCTCAACTAAAAACCTTAATTAATTGTCATTTAAACTAAAGTTCAAAACTGTGGTTTTGTTGATCCTCCTAGTCCATACGTTTTGACGTTCCAATTGCTGTCTTTAGAATAATTTTTATATCTAGTTGGTTAATTAAATTGGTTTGTACGTTCCATGAGGATTTGGTAGTAGTCTATTTATGTATGTTTCTGATTTTGTGGGTGCACTGAGGATGTTCGTTAAATTGTTAGTTGTATTCATGTAGCCATTGTTCTGCGACTTTTGGTTTGTTTGTTTTTTACATATCCGTCGTGAAGTTGAAATTTAAATGTTTTAAGAATTATAGTTCTTATAGCCTTTTTTCTTTATGTGTAGCATATTAAGCCATATCCATTCGTATAGCCTTGATGGCGGTGACATAACCGTGTAATGACCGGAAGCTCGGCAATTATACGACTCTAGACTCATCCAAGCTTTTTCACGGCTAACGTTGAAAGTGAAGCTATTTACGCTAGGGTTGAAATCTCTTAAGCAACTATCAATCTGTGATCAGCTACTAGATAAGCTGTCAAACCGTTTTCATTAAAACACTGTAAGACATTTGACTCAAATTGGCACTGCTGTTTTAGGTTTGCGACAATTCCCGTTTGTACTCGTCTGAAGGTTATGCTATAAGGAATCGTAGTTGAAATATTATAAACAACGAGGAGAAAGGCACTTGTTGACGAACTACTTGTTTTTCACGTTCGAAATTACACATAATTTGAACTATTATAAACTATTATAAATTTAGGACTACAGGAAAGTTTGAAAGTAAAGGTCGTATTTATTTTACGGTGGGATCTGCTTATTGAGGGCATAATGGATGGAGGTCGTTCTGATTGACTTTGCAGATTCGCAGGTTTTGTTATGGCCAGTATTTCCATAGGCAATAGTCAAATTAACAAAAAAATATTTACGTCATCTTAAAATTGCAGTCAATTTATAATATAGTTCAGCCTGAGAGAATTCAAGCTGTTTTATTATGTCAAACTATAATTTGTAAAGACATAATGATGGTGATTAACCGTAGTTAAGCACTCAATCACCATGGCTTTCTTCTGTCTGTAGTAGTTAAGAATCTAGTTTTACACTAAGTAATCTTTTGAATTAAAATTAAAGCAATAATTTAAAAAAAGGCTAATAAGTAAAAACACTAATAGAAAACGGCTTACTGAACTTACACGAAGGCTAAAAGAAATTTCTGTTAAGAGTCGATTCAAGATGGCAGAACTCGGTTAATTTTTCTGATACTTTCCTCTTGTTGGTTCATTGTGTTAAAAAAGATGCTGTAACTCACCATAAAATAGTTCTATGGTCGCTACTATTCCATGTCTAACTTTTCGTTTCACCACCTTCCTTTTAAAAGGTTTTCTTCTTAATAATCAAACATTACACGCAGTGCAGTTTCCAGTCATTGGCCTAAAACGTTTTGTGTTAATAAGAATAATTAGAATAAATGCTAATCTGATGAATCCACGTTGGTAATGAGATGACCTAAAAGGTTCCAGCCAAAGAGAAGTAGCTTTTATTGCCTCAGGAACGAAATATTTGAGACCTTTAGATACCACCTTTCAACTACAATTCTTTCACTGCTACATTGGATTGTAGTTGAATAGTTCTAATTGGCTACAAAATCCCACAATCATTGACTAAATAAAGCCATTAGAATCCAGATAAATTTATCATTTTGCATATTTAGCAGTAAAAAGAAAGTAAACCAAGATTGTTTATATTAATGTATGTTACTATACTGCTTTGTAAAATTCACAAACGATCTTTGGTAGAATAATAAATAACTTAAAAATCAAGTTTGATATCCCCTCCAAGCTATCATATTTTTCTGTCTTGCTAACAGAAGTAAGGATGAAATTGTAGCTGATATTTCAATCAAAGCATAAAAATAATTCTTTTCTTAATAATCTGGGATTGAAAGGAAGGCCACTAAGCCGAGTGATAACGATGATTAATGTTTTCCAGCATTTATGTTTTTGCTTTTATGAATTCTTTGAATAATACATTATTCTGACAAATACCTACCCTTTTGAAACATCGGGAGGGATGGTATGTAATAAAATATTGGTCTTTGAAACGAAAAAATCCTAAATCCATCAGTTAAAAACTATTTTCTCAAAGGATATCAAGATTATTATCCTCCCATCCTAGTTAAACTATTGAAATGCCATTTTTTTTCTTTGTGATCAATAAAATTTGATGAAATGTTCCCAAACTTTTAGTTCTGGATTACTATATCTGTTTTGAATATTTTACGTAAAGATATTATGCCTTATTTGTTAAAATAAAATAAATTAGCAAGACTTAAATCTAATATCTCATCCTAGCTATCATATTTTTCCGTCTTACTAACAGAAATAAGGATAAAATTATAGCCGATATGACAATCAAAAGTTAAAAATAGTTATTTTCTTAATCATCTGGGATTGAAAGGAAGGCCACAAAGTCGATTGATAACGTTGATTAATGTTTTCCAGCATTTATGTTTTTCTTTTTATGGAGTTCATTATTTTGAGAAACCCTACACTTTCGAAACATTTGGGTTGATGATACTTATCAAAATACTGATCCTTGAAAGAAAAAAAATCCCAAATCAATCATGTAAAAACTGTATTTTCCCAAAAGATATTTGTGTTATACACAACCGTAGTTAAACTTGCAATTTTTTATAAAATTTTCCAGTATCTTAAAATTTTTAAAATTTTATTTATTGAATGTCGTACATTAGAAGTAAAAGTAAAAAAAGCTGAGCTCATTGCATCATTTTTTACGTACATTATGCTCAAATTTTTAGTTCTGCAAAAGCATTTGGCTCTGTTGAATAATATTTAACGTAAGATAGAATAAAGTTACTTTGCAGCAATTCTTGATTTAATCATACATTTTGATGTAAATGTGAGAAATTTTTCTATCTGCAACGAAATACTGTCAAAAATTATGAAAATTTTAATTTTCTGTCTTGCATTTGTTTCTATGCAATTTCTGACTCACACAACTTGCAGAAATTTAAAATTAAAATGTTGACATAATATTACTCATTGTGCCGTACTCTATTTGTGTAATGATTTCTCATTTTTTCTTGTTATTTCAAATGACTATATTCATGACTACTGACTCTTTTATTTTATATATTTTATTTTTGAAAAAGGATTTAACATTTGCCGACACGCTTAATCGTTGTTAAACGTTTGGAAACTCTGTTGTTTGCTTTTTGATAGAAAAAATTAT